GGGGAAACACAACATTAAAAAGGCACCAATCAAATTAATGGTTTGGAACGCGCATAGCGTTCACAACAAAATTCAAGAGCTACACTATTTCCTTCTCAGCTATGAGACTGATATAGCTCTTATTACTGAGACTTTTGCTACGGCCAGCAGTAGCATTAAAATCACAAATTACAAATGTTATATGTGTGACAGGGAGGAGCCGCAATCTACATACGTAACTCCCTACAATCATGTTTCATTCAGGACGATCGCAGAAACGTGCATGAGTCAGTTACAGTTTCTGTCTTGCTCCCGAAGTATGGCACGGTTATATTTCTGTGCAATGTATAACCCGCCGCAAGTACGTTTGGATGACGCAATCCTCTGTGAGCTCTTTCTTAGAGAAAAGCCTGTCACTTTGGCAGGTGATTTAAACACAAAGAGTAATATATGGAACTGTCAAAAATCTAATAAAAATGGAGAAAAATTGAGAAATTCATTACAAATCATCACGTCGCATTGTACGCAACTGTTGAGGCCACCTACTACCCGGATAGCTCGCTTTTCGAGGAAATTTTAGATATCATTCTTACCACGTCCAAAACCCCTATGTCGCTCGAAGTTAAACAGGAATTAACATCTGGCCACGTCCCTTTTATTCCCACCCTTGGAGTTATTAAAAATATTGATGCGCAACCAAAAAGGCTTACGGACTGGAAGCTTTACGAAAATATACTCTCTAGTAATCCTTCTACGATCAGATGCTGCGAACGTCGGACAGATATTGATCTTGTGATTGACTCTTTCACGGAGAGTATTATTTCTGCTATTGATACTGCTAATTACACGATCCCTGCCAATTACAACCTTGGCACAACAGACTCAAAAAAAAAAAGGTGCAGTCTAACATGGGATCCGAGGTTAAAAAAGAGTTAAATGAGCTTAATCGAAATATTAAAAGCAACATGAGCAAGTATAGACAAGAAAGATGGGAGGAGAAAATCCTTAGCTTAAACGACTCAGACGAATCCTTCTGGGCATTCGCCAAATGATTGAAACAAAAACCTACACTAAATAGACCAATTTTCACTGGGAATAAGACTACGATTACTAATAAAGAGAAGGTTATGGTACTTGCAGACCATTTGGAAAATCAGTTCAGACCCAATGAAAAACCATGTGACCATAACTTTATAGAATATGTACATAACTTTGTTTCTGACTGTTTCTCAGCGCCCTCAGTTAAAAAATAAGACGGAGTTTACGTCAACCGATGAAGTCTACAATATTATTAAAAAGCTAAAAAATCGAAAAACCCCAGGGCACGATGATATCAGTAACCTGGCGTTGAAGCATCTTCCTAGGAATATTATTTCTAAGTTTGTCAGTATCTTAAACGCCTGCTTAGAGAACACCTACTTCCCAAATATCTGGGAAAAGGTAATACTAATACCTAAGCGGAAAGGCAATGCTAATACTAAGGTAATAAATACTAATACCTAATGCTGGAAAGTATCTTACGAAACTAGAAGGCTACAGGCTCATCAGTTTCTCTTTGGTATGGGCACAATATTCGAAAAGGTCATCATGGCTAGAATGTAGCAGCCCTTCGACAAACTACCCGTTGAACAGTTCAGGTTTCCGAAAGAACTTATCAACAACGAAACACTTGTTCGCTTGTCTGAGTTTATTGGTAGTGGTTTCTATAACAAGTTAAATGTTACCCTGTTCATGCTGAACGTGGAGAAAGCTTTCGATCGCGTCTGGCATGAGGGCTGATCTTCAAGCTTGAGTTAAATTTCACCAGAGAACATATTCTTGTGCGCTCATTCATCACTAACAGAGTATTCTCCGTATCTGTTGGTAATGATACTTCGGACAAGAAAGTATTGCGTACTGAGGTCCCTAAGGGATCGATTTTAAGTCCTATTATGTTACAGACCTACCTAAAGATGATCAAAATTACTTTCTCGGCTGCGCCGATGATACGGCGGTAGCAGTCAAATTGAATAATGCTAATCATGCTGTTTAAAAACTACAGAAATTCATGCCAAAAGTGGAAGTCTGGTGCACTCGTTGGAGAATAGATAGATAGTATAAACAGGCAGAAATCGCAACTCATGGTTATACGAAGAACTGGAGAAATGCTCCGATTAAGAAAAATTATTCTCTTCAATGATGAAGCTCCCCCTCGTGACTAAAGCTATTTACTTAGCTTTTATCTACAATGATAAGTTGACGTGGTAATATCATGTCAAGAATGGCAGGAGGAAAGCCGTTGCGACAATTAATAATCTCAGATCGCTCACGGGGAACTTTTCAAAGCTTAGCCTGCATAAGAAACTTCGTATTTGCATGGCTATGAACAGACCAATATTTTCCTACGCATCACCCCCCTGGGCTACTTCCTCTCATAAAGACATAGCCAAATTGCAGCTCACTCAAAGCAAATACCTCAGGATCATTATTGATGCCCATTTTTTTGTAAGCAATGATACGCTTCATAAAGATCTTAAAGTTGAAAGAGACGCGAATTTCTTAGGCCGCATGAATGAAAACTTCTTTAATAAATCCCTCACTTATAACCATCTTACCATTCTACAGGTGCTTACTATCAGGTACTTCAAGAAGATCAAATTTATCGCCTTCTCACTTGAGACTCTAACTTTCCCACCTGACACTCCTACCTCTGACATCATCTGCACATCTCATTTACACTTTTAAATGTCTTTATGCGCTCACCTCATTTTTATATGCACTCATTTAGGAAGTCTACCTCGCTAGTATTTTATGAGGTCACTTGATCTTAGGACTAAGGACTTTTCTACGTTTTTGCATTACATCGCTCCGTCCTGTTATACCTCTCCGTTGGTCTTATGTGCCCATGTGTGCCTATCTGACTGAGCTCAAAGCGTTCGCGCGATATCCCGGCGATAACTGTCAAAAACCAAACCAAACTAAACCTTCACACTGCACTGTGGAGACTAAAAACGAAGAATTCCTACCTTAGTTTGTGTACTAGTCGTTAACGTTGTATTTTTTTTTTCCTATCATGCGCCTTTTTTTTTTAAGATAAATTTAAGTAAAGTAGTTAAGCTATTTTAATTTTTAAGTTCAGATCGATAGTTAAGTTTACTTATTTGTTTAGCATTCGTTAATAAATATAGCGATCGACTGTTATCTAGAGCTAGAATAAGTCTTCATCATGCCTGCATGATACTGCGTTCGAGCCTTCAAATCAAACAACGACGGCACCAATGAATATATATATTGGTGTTCAAGTTTTTAAAAGATACATTAAAACAAGATTTGTGGTTTAAAAATATGCCACGCGATTGCAGCGTTGTGTGTGAGAAACGTTTTCGAGAAAATAGTGTCATTCGGCTCGATTATTTATCAGAAAACAAAATTACGGTTATTCAAGTTTGTAGAGGGCACCCGAAACTCATTTTCTCTGGTATCTGAAAATCCAGCAATTCAGATGATGAGCAGGGAAGAAAAAAAAGCCAGTATGAATAAAAATATTTTAATGAATTTTTTACAAAGGAAAAAAATTGTATCATTTGAGGATTTTCTTCTTCATTACTGAGTAAACTAAACATTTCAGATAATTCAGATATAATTTTACTTAAAATATGCTGATAGAACTTGAATTTTTTTCCTTAATTTTAATCCGCAACCTAAAATTGGGAAAAGTATTTATGTGTCACTTCATATGGATACATCAACATCTGTTCAGTCCTTTGATTCCTTCCTTGTCATCAGAATATAAAGATATCATTGGATTAGTAATAATTCGCTTGCTGTAATGTTGTGTAGCAAAATTATAGTTTATTTAATTCATGTTGGCAGATGTCAAGATGAATTCAGAAGGGATTTAAATTTTTTCTGCGACTTTTGATCTGCTGTTCTTTTTATTAAATAATAACTGAAATGAACTAAAAATACATCTGCATAGTTTCTGAAAGTTCCGATATGTAGTTTTAAAGAATTGAATGTATTATTGATCGTTCATTCAAGTTATTCTTAACATTTAAAATTGCAATAATGATCAATAAAAAATTACATTGTAATAATACACTAAAAAAGTTATTTTTAAGTCACTTTTAATTTGCTAAATAATGTTTATTTTATTTTATTTTGTCAGTAAGTTATTTATACTTTAGAATCTTTTTATTCTCCTCCTCCCCCTTTCCTTCGCATCTGCGAAATAAAACCTGCAAAAATTAAATTTGGGCTGAATATTTTTCGGAATGCTTATTAAAGAATTTTATTTACTTTAGTGTTTAGTGGAAGTAAGAATAATCAAACATTAAAGATTTATTTATGTTAATAAATATCAACCATCTTTTTATTTATTTATTTTAAAACTTTGCGTTTCAGCGAATCCTAAAGGATCATTACTATATAGTATAAAAATAATTGCACAAAATATCTTAAAACATTGGTTAGAACATTTTCTGATTATTTCTTAAAGTAATACCTGTTATGCTATTAATCTTAACTGCAAATGAATAAACGACCTTTTATACACGTTTTTCCGTAAGTATCTGGAAATTTAATTATTATGCATTTTAGAAACAGGAAAATCCAAGGGAGCTAACGAGCCTTGGTATATCACATTGTTATCATCAGTAGTTAGCCAGGCCGTGTTTTCCAGTTGGCCGTAATATAAGCCATGATTCTTTCTCCTTCAAACTCAGAAACTTGCTCAAATCAGAATTTTTTTTTTTTTTTTTTTTTTTTTTTTAAGAGTACTTCTAAAATACTGGCACAAATTATTTGCATATGCGGTGCAATGCTAATTATTTGTACGTGTACGTTCTATCGAGAGTAACGCATGGTGAAAATTTCCTACTTGTTGGACGCTTCTTTCATTATACTGTACTTGGGATAAGCCAGTAGTGTATTATTTTAAAGAAATAGATTACGTAATTCGAATTTATATATCCGAAAATTTTATTCACATAATTGTAATGATGTTAAAAACAGAAAAGAAAATTAATAATTTGTATTTTCAGATGAGTCAAAAATATAAAGCAAACATATTGAAGTTTCCCCGTGACTGGCGAGAAATAAATGAGAAGATGCGACGTATACAGGAGGACATCAGATTCCAAGTCCTAAGTATGCGCACTGGAAAGGTAACGTGCAGCTTCTTGTTCATTGTTCTGATTATTGTTCTTTGATTTCAATAGATTACATGTATGATACAGTTATTTAATAGTGAGTTAACAAAACTTTCAAACATAGAAAACCTTTGGTTGCTTCGGAATTCAGTTTTTCTTCATTTAAAATTTATTTTAAATATTTTTTTTTTCCTCTAAAATTGTTTCCCAAAAAGAACTTTTTTGAATTTTTAAGTAAAGATTTTATATTACCTTATGAAATTAAGTGTCTTTACAAAGCAGAGTTATACAAAGTAGCAAAGTTATATTTTAAAATTCTTCTTAACTATTTGGTTATTTTACAGATTTTTAATTATTGTCAATTTAATTGATCTCCACTTCAATCTTTTTCAGTATAGATTAAAAGTACTCTTTAATCAAATTTAAGTTTAATTCTGTTAAGAAATTAGAATATCAAACTTTTAATTAAAAAATGACTCCATTTTATTATAATCCTTCGTATTGCAAACTTCCGTTACCTGAGTGCCTCTAATGTACATTCAGGTCAGGATTAAAAATACCAGCAAAAGAAAACAAAAGCTATAATTCTATTTTCTAGAGCAATATATTTTGGTTTTAAAAAAATTTGAAAACGGAGGTTTGATAACTTAAATACGAAACCAGTTCTCTCAGAAATTTCTTCATAAAACCTTTCTTTTAGAACGGCTACTTTGCGTGTTCTCTTATTGACACACAGTGTTACCGTTTTGCTATTAACTAACAGTGGTGCCTATGAAGACTGCTTTGTATGTCTTAAAAATTATTGATTACGGTTCTACAATATTATTCTGTTTGAAATCTTTTATTAGCTAAACATGCAGACATCGATGAATACATTTATGCTAATAGTTTGTAAGGATCTTAAGTTTTACTAACGTTTATTTTATTTTAAATCTTTACTATCACTTCTTATTTCTACTTCCGGCAGAATTATAAGCGTGAAGGTTTTTATGCAAGTTTGTCTGGCGAACGCCAAGTATTTAAGTGTGCATTTTTGCCAAGCGAAAGAGAGAGGAAGTGAGTTCGAAGCAGGCCGCTTACCTTAGAATTACGCAGTTGCTATTTGCCTTCCGGCCAGAGGTTTTAATCCTCTTGATAAATTACACGTATTGTAGTCACAGTCTCTGTGCTACATACGCTTCCTGTTATTATAGGCCATCTTACACGTGTATTATTCTAAAGTTAAATTAGAGTTTAGTTTTATTTGATATCTTTTACGTTAGACCCCGAGTGGAGGGTCATTGTATTCCGAAGTACGGAAGTCATTGTATATAAAGAAAAATAAAAGGTTTTGTATATCCTTCGTCTGTATCCTGTCTACTTACTACAATTAGTGAACATAGCTTTAGTAAGCTCTCTGTTCTTAGTCAGGTCCTTTGTATGTTTCCGAAGAAGGTTAGAAGAAACATTGAACCTGATAAGTTAAGCTTCCTTATAATATATCTGAAATTACATGGTATGATAAAAGCACTTGTCTCCATTTTTTTATTTCAAATATGTACAGTTCTTAATATTTTGATAAATAAAATGCTATAATGCTCTCCTATTCCCTTTTCAGTAATACTCCAATTGTTTTATTGTCACCTGTAGTCTTTTGATTGAACTTTGGATATCCTAAATAATTCACAAAGTTTCATAGTGCTGGAATTTGTTCCATATTTATTTAAATACCTGTATACTAATACTCTTCCTCTTATTTTTTATTGTATAATGTACAGCATTCACTGATTTTTATTCACGTTTTTCTCTTCCTTTTGAAACCAAGTAGGGAAGAAAACGAAAGAAGCCTCAGTGGTTAAAACAGAAAGAAGCTTATGAAGCCATGAGAGCGGAAAGAATAGCGAAGGAATTCTCTGAGACAGCACAACAAGAGCGAATTCTCAGAGGGAAAGACAAATTAAAGGTTTCAGAAAAGACAAGAAATGCAGTACCTGATAGAAAGTTGCCTGATAAAAATAAGAAGGTAGAACAAGAGACAACAGCAGGAGGTAAAAAACGCCTCACAGGAAAACAAAAGAAAGAAAGAATTAAAAAGGCAAGTGATGGAGTAGGAAAAAACAATGAAGACCAAAGCTGCAATGAAAAAGAAACTATGAAGAAGGATGGCCCATCATCAGAAACTGATCATTCCACTATTAAAGAACACGTTGATGAGGAAATTGCAAGCAGTGCTACAGAAGACGAGGAATGCAGTTCTGAAGACCCTGGAGCTACTGTAAGGGATGGTACATTATCAGAAACTGATCATTTAACGGTTGAAGGAGAAAGCGTCGCTGAGCATTCAGATGATACTGAAAATAATAGCAGTACGGAAAAAAATAATTAACATAAGTAATTAAATTTAAAAAATCAAATTTTCACTTATAAAGGATAGATAATTTAAATTTATGTGACAAAAGGAAAGGAGAAGAATTGTATGATACACTCAGGATTTCTAAAGTTATTAAACTGCCTGTAAGTTGTCCTTTCTAGAAATGAATATCCATATATCAATATAAGTTTTGCTTCACCTTTTGTTACAAAAATTACTCATTTTCTCAGTCGCATCCCTAACTGCATTAGTAGACAGTATTTATTTATTTATATTATATTAAATTCACTTAAGATAACCTTAAAAATCTTCTTCATTTGCCTATAAATGTACAGACAGAAAATATTTTCTCACAAGGATACAGCTTACAATTTGTCAATCTTTTGAAACTGTAAAATATACATTAAAAAATTCATTCGTAACTCATTGCCGAAGCTTTTGTAACAATCAGTTTTTCTCAATGGAAAAAAAAAAAAGACGGCCTTACTTTCATTTTTTTTTT